TCCCTAATTTGCATATCATTAATTTTGTATGATTAGATACATTTTTCTAATTGCACCATATAAACAATCTCATCAATGTTACCACTGAGAAACACAATTTTGAAATCCAACTTATGTAACTTAAGATCAAATATGAGCAACAGGTATCATGATTATCTTAAAAGAGTCTTTCAATGAAACCAAAGAGAAAGTCTTTACAAAATTAATGTCATCTTCACGAGTGTATCCTTTAGATTCTAGACATGTCTTATACCTGTCAACATCACCTTTTGCATCTATTTTAGTTTTAAATATCCATTTGCAACCAATTAATTTTTCACCTTCAGGTAATGAGACAAGTTCTTAAACTTTATTATCTTGTATAGAACTTATAATCTTCTTCCATCACATTAATCCACTTATGAGAGTCATAACTTTTATGACATGATGAAAGTTGATTAGATCATCCTCCATCATTCAACACTATCATCTTTATTTCTTAGAGAAGTACAACATAATAATCTAAATATTATTTCTCTCATCTCGTGGATCTTCTTAATGACACTTGTTCTCTGAGGTAGTTGAGTTTGTTCTTCTGAAATGATTTCTCATCTTAAATGGAGAGTTGTTCAAAATAACCTTATTGAGATTCTATATTCACTTCATTATTAACAACATGTATAAACACATAGATATAATCAAAAGTGATAATAAGTATTGAGTTATAATCCAATTCCTCCTTAAAATTAATTCATCAACCTTATTTCTCTATCCAAACTCAACATTCTTAAAATTAATATTATAGATCTCATCTTAAAAATATTTCTAATTATAAGATCATAAAACTTATAACCCCTAAATCACGTAGAATAACCAAAGTAGTTGCTTACTGTTTTAAAATTTAATTTCTTCTCATATGTCATAAATTATTAAAAAAAATAGAACAACCCTTTATAATATATTATTGTCTCTTTTGAGTTGGACCCTTAACAACTACATTCTAGTTTTATTTTTGCCCTTATCTTTATATGCAGTTTTCAAGTGAGTACTTTCAAACTTATTATGCTTCAACCTTTCTTCCTCTTGCACACAATGAAAAATGAGTTCATTTAGAGTTCAGTTTTCCCTTTGAGTTGATTAAACTTTATAGTAAGTGATATTGAAATCACAAGAACAAGTAATTCTTCTAAACAAACTCGATCTTAAGTGTCTCAAGTCTTAAAGAAATATGAAACATATTAATAATGTATTCCCTCACATTTCCCTTATACTTTATAGACATCAAATAAGTAAAAAATAATGTCATTCAAACCTTATTTTTTGGGGGAACATTTCTCAATTTCATCAAGAAAATCATTAGCCCTAGTAATCTTTTTAGATTATGTGCCCCTAAAGGCTTCGAAATATTGTTCTTCATGACCACTAGACTTATGCAATTTGAACAAATTTCACCTCTCAAAATTCAATTAAGGATGTTATCCCCATGAGAGGTGGAAATTATTCTTGCCTTAGTGCAAAGTCTATGTTCATAGAACCAAAAACTTATGTAAATGCATTTTCTCATTCCTTGAGATTTTTCTTAAGTATGAGCAGAAAATGTATAATAACAGATATTATGGTAGCAAAAAATAAAAAATTAGCTGAACAAAACATAAATTAAATTGAAGCTCACATCTTAAGTAAACAAATAAATTTAAAATTATGGCTAATAAAAGATTAATCTTTGGACTAATGTAATGCTCACATAAAATATCTTATAATTGTCACATGTTATTACCACAGGTGTCGCTTGAAATTCGAACAAATATTAACTTTCCTTTGGGTCCATTAATAAATGTATGAATAACAAAAAACACATAATCATCTTGATATTCTAAATAAATCAGTCTACACAAAAGAAGTCACTTTGACGACATTATGTTTCAACTAATCTATCAAAATATCAGACCTAGCCAAAATATGAATTATTTTGTTTCAAAATATATATTCTATTAACCAACAATCAAAACTAAAATTTTGATCAAACCGAATTGAATACATACATATATTTCATTAACAATATAGAAAAAACCAATATATATTGTCAATCAATCAATTTCTCTTAATTTTATCTTTTAATTAAAAGATAACCAAAATAATATTAAATTTGAATAACCTTAAACCTTATCTCAAGATATCAGATGCTTCATTGATATTTCATATTTAGATAAAATATTCACCTTAATTGATATCTGAGATTGTAACCAAACATTGATAATAAGAACATGTCAAGTAAAAATATTCCTTTGGGCAGATTTATTACTCACACATCAAACTGGATAATTATCACATGCTTATTACCAAAATTGTATAAGCGATTATGTCAATTATTAATCTTCTTTTGGGTCGATCAATATTAACATATCCTAAGTTACATGCACAAAACCTTTATAAAAGAATATTTTCCATAAAGGAGGCCACTTTAACGATTTATTCATTTAACTAAGTTGTCTCAAAATAAATATTAATATTCAAATTTAATATTTCTATAACAATCAAAGGTTAAAACTGAAATTTTTTATTACAATACAATATCCGAAATAACTCAAAATAAGGTTACATAAATGGTGCTATAAAAAAATGAAACTCAAGTCTTTGATTGTTTCTGAAGAATTCATTAAGCATGAATTAATTCATAACTACATAAATCTCCAAAAAAAAAATTGATTTTTTAAATCAATATTTCACCAAAAGTTGAAGTCAATCCAAATTTAATTTCCTAATCTCGTCATGATTTCCGAAATAACTTATAATAAGGTTTTCTAAACGATGTTGTTAGAAACTGAAAACCTAAATATTTGACTATTTCTCAAGAATTTCATAATTATGGATTCATCAAATTAAACCAAAAAACAATTCAAGAAACCATAACCAAATTGAATATATATTTTAAAGAATATATATTCCATAACCATATCATTAAAATCTTTTATTCATGAAAAACAAGAAACCTAAACATTCAATGGTTATCACAAATAAATAAATAAAACTTAAGAATCAAATTTTAACTCTTTTTGTTCCCCACCAATTTTCGTTATTATTATCTCCCAATATATAAAGACAAAAAATTGATAATAATAAGAAAAATGTAATTTTATGTTAACGCAAAGTGGGTGTAACACTATCCTAAAGTTAACGCAGCAATATCGCAAAGTGAAGGGAGGGTTATCGTACAAAAACTTGTACGAAAATTAAACCTAAAATACTTCAACGAATCAACCAAAAAATAAATCAATAAGTTTTCAATGATTCAACATGACGAGGGGATGATACCATTTATTATAACAAAATCATAATGAAAATGAAAAACAACCGAGATCAAATTATGTCAAATTGTCAAGAATAAAATACTAGATGCAGAATCGTACATAAATTAATTGATGGGTTGAAATCATTGAATATTTATTTTGTTCTGATCTTCTAAGAAGATAGAGTTTTCTTAAGTATAAATTTTTTGATTGGGATAAGAGTAAATACGAGACTGTCTATTTATTGGAGAACATAACCCCTTTATATAGCTGATTTAAGAATCGGTTATTGTTTGTACTTATAACTCTGTCCCTTGTCAAGTTATAAATACAACTTTATTAGTATCTGCACTTTTATTTCCATAACATTTTTAATACCTTATGATTTTATAACATAATTAGTCACTTAATTTATGTCATATTTTACAATAACAATATACATTATAAATATGTACCCATAATTATGGATTTTAATCCAACACTTATATGATATATTGTTGATCTTCCTTGCTTTGAACCCTAGGATTAGATTTGGATATCTGATTTGCATTCGTGGATAGCTTTTGACTTCATTCAAGTATGATTTGTGATTTGTCAGTAGTCTTTCAATAGTTTGATCCCCTTTTGTGGTTCGTTTTACGATACAATTAGATTTGTTTGTTTTTATCTTTGTTTGAGTTTCTTGGTTAGGTTTTTTGAATATTTCCTTATAAGGTCCTTATGTGATCTTAAGTTGTTAATTCTATGTCAATGATTATAATAAATTTTTCTAATTATGTGTTTAATTTATGATTGTAATTATAAATCTTTATTATAATTTGTGATATTTTCGATTTTGAATAAAATTAGTTGTTTCTATCAAAATGAATATTAACCATTAATCAGCCTATAATTTTTATCTAAAATAAGAATTATTTTAATTAAATTTAAAACATCGATAATATCAAGACAAATTTTACATTAACATAAAAAACAATCACAATCATCAATAAAACAAAAGTAGCATTTCCAAATTACATTGGAACAAAAAAGAAATCAGAATATGGAATCAATGAACTTCAGTGCAAATTGGTGCCTTCATGTCTGAGTTTTTAGCTAATGGGCAGGCGAATGAATTTCTTTGGGATTTTGCTTGGACTTGTTTTGTGGATTGATCCCCCTTCTTATTTTTTTTAATGATTGATTACGACGGGTTGTTTTATTATAAGATATTATGAGAACAAAATGGATTTGTATGAACAATGGATTCTAAAGTTTTTAAGTTTCAAAAATACTAGAATTGTGTTTCGAATATATTTAAACATTAATATATTAAAAAAAATAAAACAAAATTAAGTGCATCCACACTCCATAACCTTCAAGTTCGAGCCAATGTAAGTTCACAAATAACGCAATAATATGAATAATTTCATTGTTCTAATGATCAACTGATATTACTATTTTTCATCTGAAGTTCGAATCCATCCTTTAATCATTAAAAAGATAAAAAACCATAACATATAAAGAGAATGCAATAAACTAACATTTTCTTACAAATTATACACAAAAGGAAACAAATAAATTGGACATTTTCTTAAAAAGGACGTTTTTATCGATGTAAATTACAAGTTTCTTCACTTGAGAGTTTATTAAGTTTAGTCAGATCATAAAGACAACAATTTTTTTCGTTGTTGATGCATTACCAAGATCAAAGCTGTTTTTCACGAGCCCTTTTCTGCTTTAAATCAGATTGTGTTATTCTAAAACCTTCGTTCCATCATGTCCGCTTTCCTCAAGCACATGTTCAATATTGGTCACCTCTTTTCTTCTCTCAACGTCACCCCTTAGCCACTCCACTACTTCCAACATGCTAGGCCGATTCTCCGGTTTACCGTCGGTGCATCTCAATGCCACCATCACCGCCGACTTAAGCTGGGCTCGATCAAATTTCCCCTTCAACCTCGGATCTGCAATTCGATTAAATGCACCCTTTTGTACATATGGGGTAACCCATTGCACTATGTCACGTTTCACACCAGTAGGAAGTTTCTCCAATGGTTTCTTTGCACTAATGATCTCTAGAAGCAAAATGCCGAAACTATACACATCACAACTCTCGGAAACTTTTCCCCACATTGCATATTCAGGCGCCAAATATCCGAGAGTTCCCTTCACCCTAGTCGTCATATGCGTAACGCCGTCCGGTATTAGCTTTGCAAACCCGAAATCAGCAACTTTTGCTTCGAAGTTTTCATCTAAAAGAACATTGCTGGCCTTTATATCTCTGTGTATTATATGAGGATTGGCCTCATGATGCAAGTACCTTAAGGTCACATTTTAAAAAGAAAACATAAGTAAATTTGGACGGCCTCACATCAATATCAAACCATACAATAGGAAAAGGTTGAGCAATACTTACGCAAGACCTTCGGCCGAACCGACGGCAATGCGCATCCTACGGGACCAATCGAGAAGGCAGTCGGTGGCGAGTTGGCCATGCAGATGAGTTGTTAAACTATGGTTAGGCATGTAATCATAGACTATTAATTTTTCGTCCCTACTCGCATAAAATCCTCTCAACCCTAATAGATTCTTATGCCTCGCCCTCCCAAGAATCTCTACTTCCACGGTAAACTCCATCTCTGCCTTTGCACTCATCGCCTTCAGTCGTTTTACTGCAATCTGCAACACCATGTTTGCTACATATAAATTAACAACAAAAACACACTATACATCTACCATTAAGATAAAAGACATGTGATTATATGAATATGATGAATTGCCTCGACGCCTTTACTTGTACGACCCCAATATACGCTTCCGAATCCGCCTTCGCCGATCTTATTATCGTTATGGAAGTTGTTTGTTGCATGTACAATCTCCTTGAGAGTATATATTTCCCAAGGGAAATCCCTGCTCTTATTCTCGCTGTATGCAAAACAAAAGAATTACAAAAGAAAAAAAAAACAAAGATTCAATAAGCAATACCAAATTGAAAAGCTTACCTGATCTGATCTTGAACCTTACAGGGGCAACAACAGCATAAACGTCTCCAGTTCATAGTTTCTGATCAAAAAAACAAATTGAAAAGGCTGAGTATACAAATAAATTAAGGATTGGAGATATCCGAAGAAGAAGAAAAGCTTCGTGCAGTGAAGACAAAAGGTAGCCTAGGAAGAACAAGACGAGGCATTGAGTTTTATTATAAATAATGAAGGCCACAACAAAGACAAACTAGCCTAATAAATCCATTCAAAAATGGAATCACTCAATTGATATTATTTTTTGTCAATTTGAGAATGGACTATACTTTGAGATCAAATCAAATACAAAAAAAATTACGGCAGAATCGACGAATTTTATTTCGAAATAATGGTAAGAAGAAACCCTACCTTTACATCAACCAAGATTCCATTATTTTAAAGAAAACATAATTTAAAACAATGTTAAAAATATGGTAGATAAAGCGACTTTTAAATTCAAAAGTGGTAGGCTGCATAATGGCCATGAGCAAGTCTTTTTTCTATTCAACAAGTAAAATATGTGACGTATCTCTTAATTTTTTTTACTTAAAAATAATGTGAAGATACTCATTTTTTTTCATTTAAATATTATTTATATTATTATTATTATTATTATTATTATTATTATTATTATTATTATTATATTATTATATATTATTATATGTATTATTATTATTATTAAAAAATTTACAAGCCAAAATCCCAGGCCCAACCAGAATCGGCCCAGACCCAAAAGGAAACTCTAAACCAATTTAGGGTTTCAGCTAGGGTTTCTAAACCCTAGCACTACTGCTGATGCCGCCTCCAGAAGTCCTCAGCCACCGCCGTTGGTTCCAGAAGGCCACACGTCCGTTGCCTACACTCCACCAATGCCACGAAGCCTCCCCGAAGAAGCCTCCAGAAGCTCTGCTGCCACAACCCCGACCGTCCACGTCGCCTCTATGGTGAGTCACCAGCATAGCTTTGGTGACTCACCGGGCCTTTCATCCTTAGGACCGGTCCGAGACAAGCGCCGGTGGTGGCTATAAAAGCCACCACCCAAACCTGCAAACGAAAAAAAAAAAACAGAGACGGCAACCAATAACCAGCAAAAACAGAGGAACCCAACAGAAAAAAGAGAAAAAAAGAAACAAGAAAAAGCAAGCAAACCAGCAACCACAAACAAAAAAAAACAAGGAGAAAACGAAGAGAACTTACCGGGGAAGACAACGCCGTGATCGGAGTCACCACCGGCCTCCAAACGTCACCAACAACCTTCGAAAACCGAAGGTATTTTCTTAGATTTGCTCCGATCGGGAGCTATTTAGGAGAAAAGAGCACTGGAACCGTCCTTAGGACGGTCCGATCTACATAGTAGTGTAAAAATAAAATTTTTCAGCCACCGGATGCGGTGGACGGCGGTGAGAATCACGGCGGCAGACGGCTGTCGTCCGGTGACCGGCTTCCCTCTGATGAGGGAAGCTAGAGAGAGGCGAGAGAATTCTTCTCTCTCAGTTAGAGAGAGAAGAGAAAGGAAAGAAATGAAGATGCTGGCCCTTCTTGCCAGCCGGTTGAGGGATATATACCCCTTCCCAAACGACGCCGTTTAGGGGAGGGGTATATCCGTAATTTCCTTTTGGCTAAACCCTTTCCGTAACCATCTTAATTTTGTAACATTCCATTTTAGTCACTAAATCAATTTATAATCCTTTTAATTCGGTTCTTTAATTTTAATTTTATTTATTTTAGTCCTTTGTATTAAAATAATATATTTAGGGTAAATAACAGATTTAGTCCGTTAATTTTAATAATTAATATTTTAATCTGAATAGTATGTTTTAGTTTATTTTAATCTAATATCCGAATTTTATATAATTTTATTTTAGTCACTAAATTAATAAATAAGAAAATAGCATGTTTAATCCCTTTAATTTTGATTAATTATGAATTAGGTATTTAATTTTAATTTTACTATAATTTAGTCATTAATTTTAAATATTTTCATTTATTTTACTACTTTTAAATATATAGTTCTAATGGTATTTTCATTGTTTTAATTTTACTTGTTTATATATTTAAATATTATTTTATATAGTCATATAAATATATATAATAAATAATAATTTATATTTATTTTTTAAATTATTTTAATATTTATTTATTTATTTTTCAATATCGAAGAAAAGGGCAATCTTAATACAATTGGATGTCCTATTCAGGTATTTTAAAATTAAATATTATAAAAAATTTTATTTAAATTATTATATTAATATTTATTAATATCGAAGAAAAGAACTGTCTTTAGACACCTAGAAGTCATTTTCTGATATTTCTAAATAAATAAATATTTTATTTATAAATATATATAAATTATTTTTTTCTCTTTTTTCTCGTAATTATAATTTTGAAATAATAGGATTATAAATTAAATATATTTTGAATTTTTAAATTTCTAATAATAGAGACAATTTATAATTAAAAAGTACCAATTTTGGGCGTTGTAGGGGTGCTAATCCTTCCCTAAACGTAATCGACCACGAATCCCTTTTTATTATTAAAAAGAAATAATTTTTGGTTATAAACGCAGATCAGTTCATCTTTTAACTGATGTTTTCTTAAAAACTCTGTTAAAAAATAATTTTTAGGTATTCGACCTACCTGACCCAAAAGGCCGATGGCGACTCCCAAATTATTTTCAAAACCATTTATTCACATCAATTTTCCCGTCAAGTAAAAATTCGTGCTCGGACGAAAACCGGTTACGACAGCTTGGCGACTCCGCTGGGGACCGGTTAAACTTTAAAACCAATTATAAATTGTCTCTATTAATTATAAATTAAAAAATTCATATACTTGATTTATAATTCTTTCTTTTCAAATTTTTTATATATATTTATTATTTTATTTATATATTTTCTTATTAATATTTCATTTTATTTGCAAGTTATTTATTATTTCTGTTAGAGGTTTGAACATTTCTCCTCACACACAACACTTGCATTGCATAACATAAAGCTTTATAATTGAGTTTGTCCCTTTTAAGTGGGAGTGAAAGCGACGTCTTCGTGAGAATTTATTCTCCGTGTCAGGCATAGAGAAATGTATCCCCTCGAATTGAACTCGATCCACTTTAGTCTGTGATGGACTAGGATTGAGGGTTAGCAACCCAAGGGCACTAACAAGGACAATTCGGGTACCTTTATTCTTAGATCTGAAACCTTGCATATAATAAACCCTAGAAACCCTAGAAACCCTTCCGATCTGAAGCCATGCCGAAATTTTGTCCAAAATAGGTGTACACATAGGAGAAATGAATTCTAACTTTCCTTTTAATTTATTTATTTATTTTCTTACTGATTAAATTACATGTAAATTTAAATTATTTAAATTATGAAAAAGCATGTTTAAATAAAGATATTTAGGTAGATATTATTATTAAATTTCTTTATTATGTAAACTAATTCATTTCTTTTTGTGTGTTTTTTATTTTTTCTGTTTGCATAGCATCATACAGGATAAAAGGCATTGATCCTCGTGTTAATTGTCTCATTGGAAAGCCTTCATCCATGGATAAAAAGTGTTCAAATCAAATAATTCTAAACTCAGAAGTAAGACAGTGGGCTGAGGACTTACAAAGACAAGGAGGAGACAGTCTACAAGATGATTATGTATCAGACTTGGCCAGTTATGCTCCAGTTTCGCTAAAAAGAAATGACATGCAAGATTTGCGAAGCATTTGGGAAAGTTGGGACTCAAACAAAAAGTTGCAGTTTTATCAGACTTACGGAGACATCCCATATTTGCTCTATGTCGAAGTTGATGATGACTTACTTCGAGCCCTAATTCAATTCTGGAATCCAGGGTACAATTGCTTCACTCTCAATAAAGAGGACTTGGTCCCTACTATTGAAGAGTACACAACTTTGCTACATATAGAAGGGGCTTTGGAAAATCGAATTTATTCAAAGTCAATTAAAACTCAACCCTTTCGAGTTAAATTAGCAAAGATTGCCGGAGTACGAGAAGAATGGGTGGCATCCCGTACAAAACAAAAAGGCGAAAGCGAACGCATTGCTTGGACCAACATTAAAGAACTTATTCAGAGTCATCCAGACACTAAAGTATAATTCGATCTATTTGCTTTGGGTATGTATGGTATGGTCATCTTCCCAAAAGTATTGGGATATATTGAAGCTGCAGTAGTAGATTTATTTGAGCAACTACCAAAAAAGATTAATCCTGCTTCTGCAATTCTAGCAGAGACTCTCAGATCATTAAATGCTTGTAGAAAGCTAGGAGGTGGACGATTCTCAGTGTGTACCCAGTTGTTATATGTTTGGATCCGTAGCCATTTCTGGAGGACAGAAAAGGTTTCATACCGTTGCTTTAATACGGATTATTCACCATTAAAAGAATTTCTGGAGCAAGAATGGCCGAAAGAAATTAAGAAAGATATGTGGATTAATGCCTTTCGAAATCTGCAAAGCAATGACATTGTTTGGCGAGCCCCGTGGCAAATCCAAAAAGAATTCTTGTACAAATGTGGTGATTACAACTGGATAATGCTGCTCGGATTGTGGGGAGGAATTGGATATGCACCACTTCTGGTCATAAGACAGTATGAAGGTCGTCAATTTGTACCTGTCACCGCTGGATTACATTCATCTGAGTTCGCATTCCACAGCAAAAATTATAAAAGAAATATCATGGAAGCTTTTACAGCTTGGAAAAAAACTTTTTGTATCCGAGCTAAAGCAGCAAAAGAAATGCTAACTCCTGATTATGAGGAATGGAGATCTATCAGGAAAAATGAAAATATTCCTCTACCAGATCAAAATGAGGATATCTCTATGGAAGATCGCATTAAGGTGGTCCCATCAGAGATTGAAATCCTGAGAGCTGAGTTTGAAGCAGAAAGAGAAGGCTGGTCGAAAGAATTAGAGCAAATGAGACGAGATAAAGCTATGTTGGGTGTTGACATTGACTTTCATTCATCACAATGTGCAATGTTGAGAGAAAACAAAGAAAAAGTTGATGGTGAATTTAGAGCATTAAAGAA